TGAACACAGCCGAACACTCCTTTCAGTACGGAGACACTTTGACTTTTAAGTGCTAAAAGAACATTCACCTAAAGCAAAACCCATGTTTGCTAGGCAAATATGGAACCAAGTGCTTTAAACTGGTTACCTTCTCTGCAGACACGCCGTGTATTTTCCAGCATGGTGCATCATGTTCAGGCATGTACGCACGCTGCGAGTGAACATTTTTAACATACTGTTGGTGTAATGCCGCCAGGCACGTTGAACTACAGTACACATCGACATAATTCAAAGTGGACATCACTTGTGTGAATACAAACATGTTGCGCTGTTCGTAGGTGTTGCACAACTTTGCTAAAATTGTGCATATATTTCACAGACCCAGTGTACAATAGCTGTCAAGCCTGATTGGCAATCTGAACACAATTCAACGTGTGCAAGCGATGAAATCACATTCATCCATGTTAATAATAGTGCTCTGGTCAATTGTACACCGGTGGTATTTAAATTAATATCGAAGTCATCATTGTTCAAAAGATGACTGATTTGATTTCAGCACTCGAGCACAATGTTTACTGTTCATCTGGCTGTCGCCTGATGCAGCTATTTATAATTACTGGCGAAACGTCGTGCTCCGATTGTAAATGTGGCTGGGCTCTCCAACACACCGGTGTGCTGTACTAGTAACGAATTGGCATGTTCTGTTTACGTGACAAACCATACTAATTGACTGTCGGGTGGTGGCAGGTTTAAAGACACACTTAAATGTGTATGCGATCTAACCCCCAAAAAAACTATTATGGATATTGGTCACGAAAGCCTACGTGTTATTACTGTGTATTAGCAACAACACAGCCAATAAAGCACACGTGTGCAGTAGGATTTCGATGCTTGAACCTGTGCTTCCAATGGCCTAGGCTGCTGGTGGGTGCTTTGCTCTGTGGCACGATGGCAATAAAACAGGTGTTGAGATTTTGATTTAAAGCTTTCGTGACTGCAGGGATTCATATTCTTGGTTCTTTGAGATATTAAACCACCAAACAGAAACATTTTGCAAGGAATCCAGTCTGCATTAATCACACACGGTACTTGTGGTGAACATGCAAAAAAAAACATGCTCTGATAATATATGCAATGTCTTTTAAACGGATTGGCCCACACCAGACAGCTTTCTTTAGAGCCTAAGCGTTAGACCAGAGAACGCCCAAAGGCAAACAGCACAAAGACAATGCACTATCAGGGCATTTATAGCTCGGGTGAGCAGCTACACATTCTATTTAGAAGAGACTCATCTAGTTTGAGGCTCTGAACAGCTCACCGGCAGCAATTGTCAGCATTTGTATCTGGAAGCAAGTTTCCCCTGCTGCATGGCAAGACTATATTTGTGCTATTTATAAAACATTGATGCTGCAATGCCAAAAATGTAAATAATTATCTTAATCGAACAAAGCAAAGTCATATCGTGCCAAATCAAAACAATTGCATGCATTTTCCGTGATTCTGCTGACGACATTTAAAGAGTTCGACAGAAACGGTATGGTAAGCATGCATTAATAGTTATTCAAATAGGTAAAAAAACCATAGCTCTTAAAAACTATAATCAGTCTGTAGGTATACAGGCCAATTTGTGGTTGAGTTTACGAGATTTAAGATCATCCAGCCATAATACTGTTAAGATGTGTTACCCAAAATCGAAATGCTTAAATTGCATTGTCCCAATCAAATACCAGACTGCATTTCTGTACTTGTTTAAACTTTTTACTGCAATAAAACGTTGACCTTCAGTCCAGCGATTAAATGCCCTTTAACAGCGTAACGGCCACAGGATTTTATTCTGTTGGTTTAGGTGTGCAAGAGCAATTTGCACAGTGATGTGACACACACATGGCATGGAAGTGTGGACAATTATACAAACTGCCTCTTAGGCAAAGTCCAGAGCGAACCAGCCACCAGCCATCATATGCGTCCAAGTGACAACTACGCACTGCATTTCAAAAATGTAGACACTTACATAACATCATGATGCGCGGTCGTGCAGTCACGATGTGTAACTTGTTACAAGCACGATTGTATTTAGATTACCAAAGGCCGACTATACCAGTAGTCCTGTAGTACTCCCTTGTGTGTAATCGCACGACTGCCACTTACCATGTACCAATTACCATAAAAAGAGTCCAGGTTAAATTATTTAAAAATACCAGCGAGTGATTTAAAAAAAAAAAAACCTCAAGCAATCTTTAATCGGACTAATGACTTTTGTTTTAAGTAACCTTCCATACAGACGTCATTTTAGAGATCCAGGTCACTCCTGCAAATTCGATTATTCTCGTCTTTTGAGGTCTCACCCGGCTAACACAAATGCAATTGAGCTAGCCAAGCTCGGTTAGCTACACAAAGCTGGTAAACAGCAGTGCCGTGTCATGTACACATCTCCTTAGATTTTTTCGGTAAAGTCACGTAGGTAAAAACATTAAAAAGTAAAATAAAAAAAAATCACGTTTCGGAGGCAACACAAGCTTCCGTCTTCAGGTGGTACCGTCACAGCCACGACAGCTGTATCAAGTAAATGAGAGATTTCAGGAGTTACCACTGCGTATATATAATGGTTGGAGAAGGAGATTTCAGGAGTTACGCAGTGGTAACTCCTGAAATCTCTCATTTACTTGATACAGCTGTCGTGGCTGTGACGGTACCACCTGAAGACGGAGGCTTGTTGCCTCCGAAACGTCGTGATTTTTTATTTTATTTTACTTTTTAATGTTTTTTTACCTACGTGACTTTACCGAAAAAACCTAAGGATATGAATCATTGCAGTCACGAAAGCTTCAAATCTAGAATTAATGTACACATCTCTCGAAATGCATAGCAAAGCTCGTATTCTCTTTGCGCACTCTTTAGCAATGCGCCAGATGTTGCAGTTTTATCTCGACAGCACTAATTAGCTAGGACACACCTCATCAATAACAGATTAAAAAGGAAAAAAAAACTATCGGTGGCATTTCAGACAATGACCCACCTTCACAATGTTTTTTTTTCCTTTTAAGGCAGTGTTTGTGACGTCTGTGTGTCGAGATTTTATCTTATTTGTACACCAACCCCCCCACGCAGTGTCACCAAATAATGTTTAATTCGCCAGGAAGTGGTGGGTGTGAGGGCTTTGTGTGAACAAGCAAATGTGTTGAATCAAGCAGAGCTGGCCGCACAGCAGTGGGCCGTGAGACGACACGGGTGAGTGGGGGAGCATCGGGGGAAGTGAGCAGGGCAAGTGGAAGGAGGCGTTTCATAACTTTAGCTGCATCAACGCCAGGGCATTAGTTCTGAGCAGGTTACAGGCTGGTCAGAGCTCATAATGTAACGCTCAAAAGATCGTATGAAGATCAAGTGCTGTGCCATTTATAATACGTCACCAATGCCCCCCCCCCCCCCCGTCATGAGTCGATATCAGACCTCCAAGGTTCTGCTCTTACAGCATCCCACGGTCTTGGGTATCTCCCCGTCCTTTGGTCAAAGACGTTTGGGTGCCACTTTATGGCTGTCTCAGCAATGTTCCCTTCCCCATCCTGCACGAGTTATCTAAACCCTGTGACCACCTTTTCTTAAATCTCTACAATGCTTCCCAGCGACATGCTTTTCTAAACTTCCAATCGCTTACCCAACATTGCCATGAAATCCAAAAAGATCCTCCACACGCACTCAAATGCCAGTAGCCTATTTTCGAATTTCTCTGCTCAGAGTCCAGCTCTTTGACATATAGTCAAGTGATTCTAGATTTGAAGCTTCCGTGACTGCAAGGATTCATACTCTTAAGTTTTTTTTTCGGTAAAGTCACGTAGGTAAAAAATACAATTTTAAGTTAATAAAAGTATATAATGGAAATAAAATAATAAATCACGACGTTTCGGAGGCAACGCAGGTCTCCGTCATCAGGTGGGACCGTCACAGCTAAATTTACTGCATCACTTGATGCAGTAATCACTTGATGCAGTCATTTTAGCTGTGACGGTCCCACCTGATGACGGAGACTTGTGTTGCCTCCGAAATGTCGTGATTTATTATTTTATCTCCATTATTACTTTTATTAACTTTTAATTTTATTTTTTACCTACGTGACTTTACGGAAAAAACCTAAGAGTATATAGTCAAGTGGACATCACTCCTGCCACAAACACTTTTTGTTTCCACAAGTATAGAAACCCACAGGCAATACACCTCTTTAGCTCATTCATATAACTCCTTGCATTGTCCATTATCACATAAAGACACGTCCTATACTACCACCTACCGCCTGATGAAATGACCTGTCCAATTCCCATCCCCTAGGATTTAAGTCCCACCCAGCGTCACGGGGTTTTGAGGCAACGTCCTAAGCTTGGATAGGTTGTCAACGGACAATCTCGTTTGACATTTGCTGATTCTCCCCAGCTTTGTTTAGGAATCACGTGATGGGAACAGTCTATATTGTTTTAAATTGTTTGTTCAGAAAGCTCCCCGATATCCATAAGTAAAGCCTGACAAACTCACGCGAGGGACTTGGCAGCGCTTAATCTCCACTGGCAGTCCCCGAGCCGATTTCACATTCCTACGATAGGGATCAGGGGAGCGGTGGTGCAGTGGTTCTGGCTGTGAAACCAATGACATGCTTTCAATTCCTGGCCACAGCCGACACGAGTAAAATGATATCTGAACCAGTCCTCGAGTTCCCCGCTCTTCAAAACCATACTGACCAGCATAATGAACGAAGTACGGTCAAACAATCCCCACGAGTGACACAGCGTAAGAATGCCTTCATTCCAACAGTGGATTGACAAAGGGAAATGCATTTTTTGTTAAAAGTATTGGTCTCTGTATGGGAATACCACTTTTGACTTCCCAGAGTTGTACTCATTTGATCAACCCTGGAGGGATTGTAGGCAGCATCCACTCCTGACAAAGGATGTGAATTCACAAACTTCTGACCGTGAACCGAAATTCTCTACCACATACCCACGGTTAAAATAAATAGTCCCACACATGCAACTGAATAGCGGTTAATAAAGTTTACTGTATATAAATCAAAATGATGAACACAATGAAGCCGTTGCGTGTTTTTGGTGGGAAGAGGATGAGCTGCAAAGCGGTTGGATATTTTTCTTTCCATGGAATGAGTCATGATTCTCAATGTCAACTGCAGTGAAGTCATGTTTGACCGCAGACAATGTTTTCAGACGACGATCGCAGAAGTCCTCACATTAAGATAGTCAGTGTTGAACACGTGTCAAGGATGTCAGGCTCTGTCATTGAACGCCACGTCAGCAACCGGCAACATGAGTCGTTTGAAGCGTCCTTTTGGATTCTTGCGTAAAAAAAGCTCATTGCGCGCGCGTTTTCTTGTGCGGGCGTGAGCAGAGCGGTGGATTCTGTGCTTCTCGTTGGTGCGCGTGGCTTCAGAGAAAAGCGCGCAGGCACAGCAAGAAGCAACAACACAGGAAAGGGCAATCGCCCTTTCTTAAGACGGAATGAATGTTATTGTTTGTTCACAAACACACTCGGCAGATCTTTGTTTCCTTTGCCAATGCATTTTGCAAAAGAGGTCTTTTAGTTGCAAGATGCAAGAATGGCTGAATTTCATTGTAAAAACAAATGCGAACCTCGGAAAGGCAGAAAAGATACAAAGTGGAGGTTTCCCTGCCATTCACGCAGAGCGCGCAGTGCATTCCTAAGGACTGTGCCGCTTTGCATTGTCATTGGTGGAGACTCGGCAGAATACTTGAAAAGAGCAAAGTGTGCAGTGCAATCCGTCTGATGCTGACAATGTTCTTTAATTTCTCGCAGGCCACTCAGCGCCACGTCTCAGAAGGGCGATTCGTCTTTGCTGAAAGGCTGCGTCGTGCCAGGCTTCACCCAAGACAAGCCTGCGTTTCTCGAGTGCGGTTCCTCTGGCTTCTACTCAACAAAGGAAAAAAAAACAAGCGCGTCCACGTGCATACAATTACATTACAGCTTCACGACACTTTCATCACTAGTGTGCATTCATTGCTAAGGGTCTACAGGTTGAGACGATGAAAGGTAAGGTGTTATAACCACTCATTGTATTTTATTTTTAAATCTAATATATTTGTTTGACTCACAATCTAAGGTGGCACATTTAAACCCCAGTTTATGCAAATGTGATTTAGTACAGTAATTCCTCGCTTAACACGACACTTTTCAGGAACGCATCTGCCGTGTTAAAACAGCGATTACTGTACATAGAAAAGCTCACTTTTAACGGGCTGGCCCATAAGGAAAGCAAAGTTATCTGGGCTCAAATAAGTGTTGGTTGCAAATGTTGGCAGCCCTGAGCCTTATGATTGAAAGCCCGTGAGGTGCTGTGGTAGTTAACAGTCTGTTCAAAGGACCGACCACCGTTCATTTTCCACAAAGTGGTACTGTTGATTAAACAATTCTGAAGGGATGATGGGCTGAGTTGAACCTCGACAAAGAGTTGAGCAATCTGCTCAACACCACCTGTTCACTACTCATTCATCTTGAGTTCTCCGCAATCGCAAGCCTCATTCGGTAGCTAAAATCCGGCATCGCTGAATACAGACAGGGCTGTTGGACTTACCTTTGGAGACAACATCTTTTCTCTGGCACCTTCATGCAGTTGGGGATTCCATGGGGAAAACCTGAACAAGGCAAAACACCTTCGTCAACACACATTTCACAAGATAGCTTGTCAAGAGCAAAGGGTGTCGAACGTCGGCCTGCAAGCCTAAACGTAGCCCACAAGGATATTTCTGTGACTTAAAAAGCTTCACTTTATTGTGAAGCCTCTATAAAATGCACACTTTGTGCATCCCCAGGTACAACTGGCACACATGTGGCACACAAGCGTCAATTCAATACACTATCACCTGTCCACTGCACAAATTGTGCTTGGTACAATGTTCCCAAGATATTACTATCAACATTTTTTATTTTCCCAGAAAAGTAAACTTTGTTGGATCACATCACTGTTATTCAGTACAGTCCTGCTTGGAAACATTGGTCAATTTCTTTGTGTATTTCTTGATCCAAATCACCTGGTCTATACCTAAATAAAAGAGACAATTGAATAAGGCACAAATTAGATTTTATTTATCCTTCCATGTGATCAAATTTTTGGTTGTTAAATCCGAATAACGTAAAAGCTGCCAACTTTAACAAGTGAAAAACAATTAAGTCACCACATTTAACTAAAAATAGAGTCGTTAAAATTTGCCAGAGCAAACACAGCACAGTGATATCCGGTGTGGTGAATGGAGGGGGTAACAATTGACACCATTAATACTGAACCCCGAGAATGATAGAATTCCCGTGAGTGTCGAAGGTTAACTGTCGATCCAGCCGAGTGCCACTGGAGTTAAGAGGCTGCGTGTTCGCTGGTTGACTCAGCCAATCAGCCCTCCACGGTTAACAACATGAAGACGTGGGAAGTCAACAAGGGTTGTTCTAAGGAGACACTAATCTCTGCCCTAGGAATGTGGAATTTAAAGCAATGGCTCAGGACCACCGATGGATTTGGAGCACCACACCTTGCATGTTTGAGAAGCACTAGCACCTCGTGCCCTCTTTTAGCCCCGCCCCCCCCCCTTCCAATACGTTATCATGTGCAACAACAGTGACTTGTGCACAAACACGTCCACGTCGTCAACGCCTACGAGCACTTCGTGCCCTCTTTTAGCCCTGCCCCCCCCTCCCGATACATTCCATTCATTGGCTACCACATTCTGATAAACTCCCCTCCCTCAACTTGTATTTAAGAGCTTGCATCTTGAATCCCTGCCTCACTTGATGCAGCAAATCTGGCTGTGACGGTCCCACCTGATGACGGAGACTTGTGTTGCCTCCGAAACGTCGTGATTTTTCTTTTATTTTTATTAATTTTAATTTAATTTTTTACCTACGTGACTTTACCGAAAGAATTAAGAGTATGAATCCTTGCAGTCACGAAAGCTTCAAATCTAGAAGCGAGATGAGGTTTGTCCAAGGCTGAACATGAGTCTTACAGTAAATCATAGTATCACCCATTCTTCACCAGGGTGCAACAAAGCCACAAAAATTGGGGCTCAAAAACAATTATCCAAAAATACTGGAAACGCTCCATTAAATGTCAATAGTTAGCAGTTCGTTCTGCATTTTTAAGGGGTTTAACTTAATGTGTTGAACATGTAAGCTTCCGCGACCAATATACAAAAGAGGTTTTTAGGTTTACACTCCAATGCACCGGTTGTGCTGAACTAGTAACTAATTGGCATGTTTTGTTGATGAGACAAACCCCTTAGTGGCAGGTTAAACGACACAGTTATATCCACGCGATCTAACCCACCAACCTCTATTATGGTTAACGTGTGTGACTATAAATAACAGCAATGGACAAGCGGGAGGTCATACCGTATTGCATAGGCATCTTCAATCTTGGGAGGGTCAAAGATGTGACTGTTGCATAGTTTCACCGAATCCAAAACCTTGCTTCGGAACTGCTGAATGTCCTTCTCATACCTGGGATGGAGAATTGCAATCAATTACCTATATTCGAATACACGACACATACTGGACATCTGGATTGCTAAACACAGAGAGCTCAACCTCAATGCCGACTCACATTACTAGACACTCGGCAATAAGTGCAATTCTCTTCACAGGCTTGTCTCAGCGTGTTAGCAGCAAGGGAAGCCAACGGGATATGTATAAACTGACCGTGAACTTCTTTCACACCGTACGTAGCCAACCGTGCTAATTGGAGGTGGTGGGATGGGGCGGGGGTGGTGCTAGGAGGAGGCTCGTGAAGGACGCTGCTACTGGGCAGTTGGAGGCAGTCGCCCTCCAACAACAACGGAGGGCAGAGGAGCGATGCTCACAACACGAGTGGAGCGAGGGGTTACATCAGCAAGGCTGTTTGAGACGATATGGAAGAGCTCTCTTACGACGAAGCAGGAACTCACAGAAGAGCTGCCTCCGTGCTGAGTGGGTTCGATGTCTCAATCTTGTAGAAGACTTGCCTGGCGTACAGCATAACCTGCCAGATGTGGTTCTGATTACGCCTAAAGAGTAAAGGGGTTAGGGAAATAAACAAACGCACACAGGAGAAATGAATTCCGCTGTCAGAGTAAACGTGATTATTCACTCCAATGTAGCTGATGCATGAATAAACCAACAGTCCAGGCAGATGGATATTCTAATTATGGTTAATTTAATACCGAGTGAGAGCGGAGCATCTCATTTGTAAGTGAAGGCAAAAGAGACAATAGTATTCTGAGGTGGAAGCCATTTAAGCAAATATAATGCAAACAATGTATACTTGACAAAAGAATAAAAAAAAACATTTAAAAAGTGCTAAATATTTATTTTGAAACGCTAATATAATATTCATAAGGCATATCTCTATAGGTAAATAGGTGAACTCAATTGACAATTACATCTTGATTTGAAGCTTTCGTGACTGCAAGAATGCATTCTCTTTGGTTCTTTCGGTAAAGTCACGTAGATGGTTCAAAGAAAATAACAAAAAACTACGTTTAGATCGCTTGTATTCCTTATTCTTTCGGTAAAGTCACGTAGAAGGGAAATAATAAAAATAAAACATAATACAAATTCCCAAGTTTCGGCCACAACGCAAGCAGCCGAAATTGAGATTGTTTGTGTTGTGATCGCAACGTCGTAGTTTTTTGTTATTTTCTTTGAGCCATCTACGTGACTTTACCGAAAGACCCAAAGAATATGAAAACATATTTTAGTTCATAGTTGTATCCGTAGATACACACACGTATTCTAGTTCATAATTGTGTGCGTAGATACACACACACACAGACACACACACATGTATTCTAGTTCATAGTTGTGTGCGTAGATACATACCTCCACTTGTTGAAAGCCCTTTTGACATCCAGCTCCCCGGTGGTTTCGTTAATGACCGGGTGAAAGACTGGCCAGTCGAACACCAGTCTCTAGAGCACAGAGATCAGAGTGGTCAGAAGGGAGACCAAGGCGGCGCAGGTAGACAGAGGCAAAGCCTCACTCACATCAAAACAGAGGTCGCAAACGGGTTTTGATTCCTTACCCGTACCCGGCCGCACCAGGGTCGCAAATGGGTACTCGTACCCGTACCCGGCCGGGTACGGGTACCCGTTCCCTACCCGTTCCCTACCCGAAATGAGTGACAAACGGTTACTCACCAGTGACTCACGGCCTACCCGTACCCGGCCACACCAGGGTCGCAAACGGCTGCCCGTACCCGTACCTGGCTGGGTACGGGTAGGGTACGGGTATCGGGTACCCGGTTGCGACCTCTGCATCAAAGTGCCTGTGCCCTGATATGGCCAGTCGGGTGGTGCTAACCACTTTTGGCAGCCCTGAGCCACCGTAACAGGGAGCAGTCTCACATTCGATCCACAGGACTATCGCTATGAATACCAATGACGAATTGTTTAACGAAATAAAAAAAATACGTTCATAAAGCTTTGCATAATTGGAAATATTACTATTAATTCGTAAACATTGTACATGGTTCCTGGAAATATTGTATCCGCTAAAGATTCCACATGCGCTACAACAGCAAAATTTATATACAGATCCTCGAATTGAATCATGGACACAAATCTTGAACACAAATGGAATTGTGGACGAGTGAATCATTACATATCTGACAACTGCTGTTGTCCTCCCACAAAATGGTACTCAAGTCTGTTGGAATTATGGATTGGGGCATTCCGTCAACCATTCCATCCAGCCAGAAATTGTTGTGTACAGTTGGAAATGGTTGGAAGTTTTAAAATGCTTACAGTCTGCACTGAAACTACTTTAGGGTCTTAAAAAATAATTTACCACTGTTTTCCCAGTTAACAACAAGTATACTTTTAGCTTAAGCAGTCAATACGACTCAGGAATCATGTTAAAATGTATTATGAATTCAAGGCCCAGTCCAAACTGGCTTAGTCCATTCCTCCCTTAGCGCCGATGAAAATAGTACCGCTTGATTTGCAGGCATGCCAAGATTCATTCCCACGACAATTTAATGGGTTGTCATCAGGTCACGATTCGATCCAAGAAAAAAATATTTGTTTTCTTAATTTGAGTCTCTGGTTTGTATTGTTTATTGACATTTTTCTGTCTCACTTGCATAGGTTCATATTCTCATTTAGCCTAAACATAACATGGACAACCACTGTGAATAAATTGTAAACTATTTATTCTCACGTACATGGTTCAATGCATGCATAGTGAGTGAAAAACAATCGATATTAATTGATGATTTAACAAATAATTGAATGCATTCAGGTGTGCAGTACTTGGTGGTGGTAACAAGAGACTTGGTCCCATTATAAGATTGTAACTTCTACAGCAAATGGGGAACCAGAGAAGGGAGATGCATGCCATCCAAAATTCACTTAAAGCTTAAGGTGTCTGATGAGTGCGTGGTGTATGAGAGTGATGACTGCTGAGCAGTGTGTAACCAGCGCATGTGAGTTTCAGGTGAGTAGTATCACGTGAGTGGCGAGTATGTGGCAAAGGCCAGGAGTGTCTGGTAAGTTGAGTATCCGGTGAGTAAAGAGTGTCAGGTGAAGGGTGTGTGTGTGTGTCATGTGTGTGGTGAGTGTCTAGGTGAGTCCAAGATATGCGTCAGTATCAAGTGAGTGGTGAGTAATGAATGTCCCGTGAGTGTCACATTGCCCCTTTCTGTCCTTAGGATGGGGTTTCCCTCTAATGAACCAATACTGAGATGGAGGAACTCACGGGGCAGTCTCCATCAGGGTAATTGTCCGGGATGTAGACGGTGAATTTAAACACGCCGTCTTGGTACAGGCCTTGCCGGATGAAGATTACACCAAACCAGGCTGCAGTGAAAACAGATCAGACATGTAGTTAATGTGTTAAGAACAGGCAAGACACTTTAACGACATAAAATGTTGCCATTTTCATCCTGCTCGGGCCCACAAGGCAACAACCCATTTCGCACCTGCACACGTGTTGACTTCATTGCTTCATCTCTGAGACAGGCGTACTCTCTCGGGTGTGTTTGTCGATTTGTCTGTCACTCCATCACGAGCCTGGACTACCGGCCATCATCCCTCCCCATGTCCTGAACATGGCTTACTTTTTTTGTCATTCAGCAGTGGATTGATCTCGGGTGATGATATCAAATGTAAAAAGTGGTTTTCCACTGAAACATATCGTGGGGAGGCGCTAAACTGTATAAAGCGCTGGTTCAGTGGTGGGAATTATACATTCTTATGGCGGGAGTGAGTCTGTCCAAAGGACAACCCATGTTGAGTTCCCACAGAGAAAACCGTCAGATTTCATGTCAGTGAAAATAGCCCCAGAATATTATTTCAGTTTTCAGTTTCAATTTGATTTATTTGGTATAGCCCTGTGAGCCATTCGGCTCTTGATTCAGGTGCAACCGCAATAAACAAAAAACAAGAACAAGAAAACATCTTAAAGTGACTATGTGCAAACAGAAAATCCAAGAAAAGACAGCAAAATATTGCGACTAAAGTAATTTAAAAGTCCCTTCTCATCGAAGACAACTTGACATCCCTGTAGATATGCAAACAATGATAATAATATAAAGGGACATTTCATGTTTTAGAAGAGGAGAATTCTAAATTAGGTATAAAAATAAATCACATTGATGTTTGTATGCATCCATTGTTGATCAAAGCTAAGACCATCAATTTACTTAACCGAATTCTCAAATGCAGAATGTTAGTGACGCTGGCTTGGTGTTCGAACCAAGATGTTAAGAGCCTGCCTGAGTTACCTCGCCTCCACTGAAACTACAGAACTGATGAAGGCTATCACCATAAACTACTTACAGGAAGACACCTTAACGGAAAGAGCTCTGGAATGAGGCACCAGCGGGCTTCCCCAGATTATTTTATTATTCTTCAAGGAGATCATTTTATCTACCACTAACAGGTGGCTCAGAGCTGTGCAAGAGATTAAATATTTCACTCCGACTCTGCTGCATATTCCACTGGGACTGCTTGGTCAAATCAAGTGCAACCATGTAGAATAATTGTATATTCTTTGTGTAGTCAACTGTGAGCACATTACAATATTCAAACTGCGCAGTCATATGTGATGCAAGCTGCGATATTCAAACTTCTACCACCAGCAAGGTCATTAAACTGCATGCCTTTTGATTTCTAGAAATGCGGTCTATATGGTGGCTGGCTTCTCATCCATGCTGTGTGCAGGATGGAACATTTCTATTTCTCTGCACACCTTGTTAATGAAACTCCCTCTCTTCTATTGTCTTTCCTCCCTTATATAACCTGAGTCTATTCAAGAAGCCTGTCAGCTCTTGTCTATTTTTATTATTCCAGCTCTATTGCAAACCAATTTCTATTATAGACACAGAGCCTCTGGTAATAAAATGTATACAAAAATAGCTTTATTAAACTTGAAATCAGACTCTGTACCCTGAAAACAAGTTTTGTTGTGTTCTATCTGCTGTGTGCTTCTCAGTAGTAGAATCTGACTGCGAGTATTCCTTGTTGTGCTCCTGCCATGGGCTGAAACTGGACACCAAGGTAGACTTTGTGCTTCTAAATATTTCACGAATGCCACCAATCAGCACCTGAAAACAAACACTTCCTGGACAAGATGTGCCTGAATAGCTTGGCATCGCTAAATAAAATAAAGGGGCACAGGATTGGATTGCCAAAGCTGCTGCTGCCTCTGTAGAAGCAACTTCATGGGTGGTGGACTTTGGCCTATAAGGTAGCGTGATACCACATTGGCATGATAACTGGAACACGGTAAGAAAACAATTATGCTTCTATCACATTATTCAGTCCTATTTCACGTGAGTGCTCAATGCTCCAGGACCACTTACTGAGGGCAGACTTGCACGATGGCTGCACATATACTCCAGGGAGCTTCTGTCTGACCAAAAGAGCACTGCATAGTAAAACGCAAATAGAGCAGAACCTTGATTAGCCACACGTTGATTATATGCAGAATTAAATTATGCGTGCCAGTTAAACTGTAATTAAAGGATCAAAATCATTTTTCGAGATGGCTCAGTGGTACAGAGGACTAATAATACGCCATGTCAAAGTAATGACACAGCGCTGCTGGAATCTTGGGACCCCACCAGAGGCTAATTATATGAGGTCGTCATGCGTAAGAGATTTGATGATCTCAGCCCGTTAATCCATACGCGCACAATAATACCACACCCTTATAAAAACTCAGTAGGCAAATGCAATCCGGGGCTTACATTTTTTAAAACAAATACTAGTTGAAAACATTGGTGTTTCCATATGCACAGCTATGAGTACATTGGTGCCCATATCCGTAGGTATTAGTGCACCTTTAACATGTAATCAGTGTCCGAGTGGACACGGCTCTCTCTCTCACTCGTTTATGTGGTATTCCTGCACCGCACGTGTGCAGAGTGAGAACTCCAAAGAGCGTCGACACTAACCCAGTCTCGATACTGCACTCACAAGCAAGGAGAGTGCCAGTCCCAGCTATATAGTTCCAGCTACATCATAGTTGCCATGGTGGAGAGATGTTAACTACCTCGCCTGGTATACAGGAGATCGTGGGTTCAATTCCAACCCTGACACCTGTATATTTGGAGTTTGTATATTCTCCCTGTGGTCACGTAGATTTTTTTTCCGGATCCTCCCTGTTTTTCCATCCACATTTTTAAACGTGTGTTTCGAGTATTTGGCTGCTATAAATATCCAAATAAGCCACTGAGTTTAGCTATTATGTGTAGCCAGGTCGCTTCTGAAAAGAGCTATATAGCTCAGTGGACCTTACCTGTTAAAATAAAAAGTTTAGTTTAAACTGCAATTCAGCCCATGTTGGTCTATGGAACCATATGCAGGGAGAGGATTAAAAAAACCTGCAATGGTGACAAGCTGCCCTGGAGCAGAGCTCGGTTTTGAGAGGCATTTCACATTTGGAGGAACAGATTTTAACCACCATATTAACCCCGAAGCAACAACACTGATATAAACGTAATATCCCACTGCATTGGTGGTGGTGGCGGCATCCGTTTTAAAAGATGGTTTCCAGTCCACGGCCGACAGCTGCTCACAATTCTGAGAGGAGGGAGTACTCGAGGAAGTAGGGCCCGTATGAGGCGTGCGTTCCATTGGAGGCATTGGCCGGCGCGGTCGGCGGGGAGAGGGGTTTTGGTGTCGATGCCGACGGTTGCTGCCGGGGGATGGGCGGCAGTTGCTTCTTGCCGGGGCCCACCCGCGATGCTTGGCCACCGCTATCCCCGGCATTGGCGCTTCCTCGCCTCTCGTCGCCCTCCCCCGCTCTCTGCACGCCAGTGGTGGTCACAAGCGAGAATAAGTGCAAACATGCTCAAAGCAAGGTATCGCCAGTGTTCCCACACTCGTGTACGGAGCATATTTCTCGGCAGATGAGGCAAATAGGAAAGGGGGGGGGCAGTATATATTGTATATACACACACACGAGGATGAATTAAAGTTATTTCGATGAATGCTATTCAGCAGTCACTGCATGTCGTACATGTCAACTGTCCAAAAGTTTGGGGGCATTTTGTCCCTGCCATCCTCAATGTCCCGTTGCCCGTGAGTCAAGATTCGTACAGTTGGCACCTCCGATCAGCACGGTAGGCTACGTACGGTTCGAAAGAAATTCAACAAACATACATACAGATTGTGGGATAATGTAGGAGCAGACTGTGGTGATCAGATTTCGACTTTGCAACAGTTGTGGGATATGGCAGAGGGAAGAAATTGTGAGATGTGGTGGCATTAAAGACAATGACAGTAAGGACCTCTTCATCTTGATCAGTGTCTATTATGACGCTGATGACACTGGATGGATTCTGGGTGATTTCGTGACAGATGGTTACTGTTTCCATAAACTTCACTCAACGATTCCACCACCCATGTTGAAGACTCATTCTACCAGACTGACAATATTGTCTAATCCACTGTGTTCCACCACCACACTGCAGGTCATAACACTTCTCTTCCAGCCTATTCACTTGCACTGCTCGACTTTGATATCCTCTTCCATCATCTCGTTTCCCAAACTGTTACTCAATTCAAGAAATGCCTCATCTCTAATCTGCATATTACAACTTAGGCAGTGCTTTTTGTTGCTGGCCATTTGTAATTGTGAGACTTTGGGCCTGTGCTCAACAACTGTCAGGACTAAAAGGGGTCATTATACCGTTATATATAAGAAAATGCGTTCCCGACAGCGTTATTTCTTTCGTATGAGCAATATAAGAGGGCTTCATTGGGGTATCAGCAGGATCGCTAACAATTATACGGATGGTAAACATTTAATAAATAAAAATTCTGATTTATTATAACATCAGTAAGTATAATGTACTCTACTCATGAGTACATTCTACTGTACTCCGACAAGGCAGCGGTGAGAGACGAGGTTGGAGCTGTTGTGCTTCCAATCTGGGTCTTAGTGACGCCCTGAACATTTCTGTGGTGAGGTTTCTTTTCGGTGGAACCTGAGACTTTTATCCTGGGCTCGTGAGTTCTCACCTGGCTAAACGCACCATGATAACATAGAATTTTTTTTTTTTATGTAATCGTGACCACGAATCGCGATAATCAAATCGCGTGGGGTGGGGTCTGGTTGGCTCAAAGCGTACGTCTCTCTCGTTGGTGGACCAGATGCTGGAGACGGGTACATTTCCCCGGCCAGCGCTGCTGCTGTGTATTCTCGCTCGCAAGCGCTTAATATGTTTTGATTATACATTTTTGGTTAAAATGTTTTCCAGGACGAAAAGGGATATTACAAATCAGCGTTCTACGGGGTGACGCTAAGCGAGGTCTGCCTATACTCTGTACTAAACACATATTAACAAGCGACGCTCCTCAGAACTTGATTGGGGAGAGATGCCGATATCGCAAGGATCAACTCTCACCCGAGTCATGCAGCACCTTTGCAGTTGAATAAAAATTTCCTCTGAAGATTTACATCTTACAAAAATCTTTGCCCATGTGAAAAAAATCAGCACCGATGATAGGGTGTGCATTGTTCACCTACTGAGTAAAGAGCAAACTACATGGCGTTTTACCTTCCCACTGAAGCCTGATGCCATGTTTGGCCTCGTCAGAAAAGGTCAGTGGTTGTAAATCTTCAAAAGGCTTTCAGTGATTTCTTCTCGAAGACCCAGTTGCTTCTTTTCACTTCAGTTTTTCTTCCTTGATCTGTCAAGAATAAAAAATATCAAAGCATCTTTTAGTCATCATAATACATAATTCAACAACAACACTAGTTCATGTTTGATGTGTTCAAAAGCACAAGCAAATAAACTGAGATATGAAAATTGGAGGTTGCTATTTTTCGAGCTTAAGTGAATAGCCTTCTATCTACAAAACATTTTCTATTTATCTGAAATGGAAAAGAATGGAGAAAATTTGTGCACACACGAAGATAATTTTGTTTTACCAGTTTACTATGATTTCTGTTGGAAAGGATACTTAGGGAGCACCTGTTGAGGCTGGCACTGCCAAGGACAAAGTGTGGAACCAGCACCACACCTCCCCACCTTTGTCTTCACAGTATTTGTTTATTTATATAGCCATTGGCTGACTCGTTTTATGGGTGAAGCTGTGGCAGTGGTTGTCGCACTGCACTATGAACCCAGCAACCATGGTTAACATCAAGTGCCAAGTGATATTTGAAACGGTCCCTAGCCACCAAACCAAACTGACTAGCTAAGTGAAGTATCGCACTACAACCCCTATATCCGACATGGTGTGGGGAAACCTTTATCAAGAAGTGGATTGACAAAGGAGTTATATATTGCTTTTTTAATTATTTTCACATGATAACAAAATGTACACGCTGCATTGGGCACTCATTTTAGGCTGATTCAACCTAGGGAAACACCACACCTGGTTCAGACGCAACGACCACATATGTGCATGTTTAAGAGTCTAACCCATGGCAGTGTGGTAAATACAATACTGTACCACCACTACCCACACTTCCCACATTACCTCTAACTTCCACGTGTATTTATTTCAACCTTTAGACTAGTTAGTTAAATGCAAACTCATTTAACGAACCAGCAGTCGCACAGACATGAACAGACCGAGACAATGTGTCTTGGACAAAAGCACAGGACACTTGGAGTAAATAAAACATGAAGACTGCAAAGTACAAGCCTACAGGTCGATAACAAAAAAGACAAGTGCAAAAAAGTACATACAAACAGAAAATAAACCATTCTTAGAAAGCCAACAGTTCATATTGTCAGATAATGCTATTAACTGATAATTATAAAGCTAAAAGCACAACAGATGTATTAAAATCCATTAATGAGTATATAGTTATTATAGTAGCTAATATAGTAGCTAATCGCCAATGAACTCAATTCGTATTTACAGTCATGCAGCGTTAAAGTTTGTCTTAATGACAAGCATACATGCAGTAGCAGACACAAAGCATCAGCTGAACTACACTGAAATCAAGGTATATGCAGTGGAGTGACACCATTAGGATATGGACTATGATATTCCCATAAATAATCTTAAAATCCTAAGGCACATTTAACATTAATTGGTAAGCGCTATTACTCAAGATGTGTGAAAAATACTGAAATATTGAATTCTGAAAGAAGCACAGGCAGACACGTAAACTGAAATACTGCATAGTAAAATACACAAAGGTACTGTACAGACACTATACCTGTCAACCCATACGGTTAATCCGTATTCTTGTACGGGGAAATTGAGTTTTCAGCTCCATACGGCGTACAGCCGTTTCAATGCGGGCAACATTTTTTTCGTCTACTTGTTTGTGTTTCTCCCTCGTGATGGGAGTTTGTAGGATGGATGTTGAGATTTATAAGGGCACGGGCGTGACCAATAAGGTCTGAATCGGTCCATAATAAGGTAGTGAACTGTGACGAGGGGTTGACGGGTGTGAGACACAAGGCAACAACAACGAGGGGATGAACGCTCGGTGGCACCCACGCGAGCACAGCCAACTACGATTCAGGGTACAAAGTAGAGAGCTGGTAGCAAACAAGTGCAAAAGATCAACACCTTGGGGAAACTTTAATGAAAAAAATGAGGATTCGATTTTAGCTCTCCGATGTGATCCAGTGGCTTCACATCCAATTCAATGCATTAGGGGTGTATATCATCACACTCAAGTAACAAGATAGATGTTGATAATTGTTTTTTTACCCTTCTATCTGGCAACAAAACTGACACCTTTTTTACAAGGAGTCATGTTTGCATAGACCACAATACCTGCAGTCATAATACAAACAAAAAACATAACTCTGTATGCACTGTCCTTGAAGTTGATTGGTCCACACCCGAGACAGCTTTCCTTAGAGCCAAGTCTCACATGGGTTGGACCAGATGACGCCAAAAGATAGATGTTATTGCGTAGGTTTTCGCCGTTGTGCTAAATAGTTCTGATCTGTTTTCGGGTTGTGCCAAAATGTTGTTCGGCATGACGACGCTCCCAGTACGTGGTCCGAAAAGTTTTAGTTCCTGAAAAGGCTCTCAGCACGTGCAGCGAAACGTCTGGCACCATGCGAAACAACACGCGATACAACTCGAAAACACATCTGAGAGCTATACTGTACTATGCAAAGTGCTAAAAAGTCCTTTGAAATGACAGTGGTGGAGTATTCCTAAAATCAAATTACCCGGTGGTGGGAGTTGGCGGATCAGACACACATGTGTACAACACCCATCCTGAAGTACGTGCATGAGGTGCATGTGGTAGTCATTATCACAAGTATCTGTGCAGTTTTTTTGTGTACAGTACTGAGCATTACTGGGTTGTCTGGATACTTTGGTTTCCTTCAACACACAATACGAAATACAGTACTCAAGAAAGCGGACAAACAGGAAGTCCTGAAAAGGAGTTTGACATTCAGCGAAAGTTTCCCGAGAAAACTAAATATTATCTCAGGTTCCAATTGAAAAAAAAGTGTTAAAAAACGGACGTCTGCCTCAATGGGCTCTATAGCCTGGTTCTAAGGTTACTCGTGTGTATAGGACAAGGATCTGCACTGTATATTCATGACACAGCTGCTCTTACACAACCAGTGGTAAAGTAGGTAAGCTGCCAATATACACTTTACTTCATTGTCGAAAAGTTTTGACACACGTAAACGTGTGACTATTTCATTAGCCTGTAGGGAAAACCTATCCTGAATGGACAAATGTCTTTTTGGAACTTAAACATTATTCAAGGACTCCCTTGCAATCTAAACTTTTTCCCACAATGAGTCCTCACCTGCTTATGTTCATTCACACACGACTAGGTCTACAAACAGGGACCTGCAGAAGATCGGTGATGAAGCGAAAGATCCAAAGATGATGGTGAGGAAGACTGCAAGAACGGATCTTAGAAGTTGGGTATTGACTGTGCAACTGTGTTTTTTAAATTATTATCATAAGGGCATAATGGGGAAGCACAATGACCTTCAGTAAAATTGGCATTTTTACTGTATTGATTGAGTAATATTAGTTTTTCGGTAAAGTAACGTAGATAAAGAAATAATAAAACATCACGACGTTTCGAGCGCAACGCAAGCAATCGTCTTCAGGTGAATATATTTCTTCGTGCCTCAGCAGTCCGCCTGCTGTATTTGTCACCAGAAGACGATTGCTCGTGTGGCGATTGAAACGTGATTATATTTTTCTATCTACGTGACTTTACCGAAAGACCCAAAGAGTATGAATTCCTGCAGTCACGAAAGCTTTAAGTCGAGATTTAATATTAGTCTGTTAATTATCTTTCTCTGCGGCATGCTTCTATTTTTACCGGGTGCAAATAAAGGAACAGGCATGACCTTTAAACTTTCACACAGTGGCGGACTTTGAACGAAATCTGACGCTGGAACATGGCAAGCATAGGTCAAGCAATGGACAGTGTAGAGACTAAAACAAGGCGTGGAATGTGTAAGATTAATTATCACCAAAACAGTATTAACATGTATGCTAAAATGCTGTTACATTACAATATATACAATTTGACACATTATGCAATTAGTTTGTATAATACTAAACTGAATTTTTTATTTAGCATTGTTTTGGTATCATACTATTGCCACCATTGGGATGTTGGTCCGATACATTTTTAAGAAGTGATTTTGTTTTAAGTACAGTATTTGTGTAAAAGTGCAGAAATTATCCTGACACCAACGTTAAGTATTGTTACCAGCAATGGATTGGCTATGGATATACTGGCCTCGGCCAAAGGAATGTGAAATTAACAACACCGATTCAGGGCCGCACTTTCGTTCATTGACGCACACAAAGACACTTTGACCATTTTGCTTTTGACTGTCATAATAACATCGCTCTTGATAAACGTTTAATATAAATTACTGATGACTAATGTAAATCATGGGACCTCCTTTACCAGTACCAACATATGAGAATAGGGGTTTTCCATTTTATCTGGCAACAAAACAGCTGTGTTAAGTTGTTAAAACACCAAACTGAAACCTTCCACAAGGAATCATGTCTGCATTAACCACAATAATTGTGGTCAAAATGCAAACAAAAAAGAATCATACTCTGAAAATATAAGACAATGCATATATTATCAGGTTTCAGTTTGGTGTTTTAACAACTTAACACCTGTTTTGTTGCCAGATAAAAGGGGAAAAACCCTATTCTCAGTAATGTAAATGCTGCAACCTTCTCAATCCAAAGCTGGATGAGAGGCCTCCCCCACTCCGTGCCGGTCCGTTCATTTGACCATACTTCACCACGCCGGTCACTGCCTGCTTGGCACATGCATTCGCGTTCAAAATACAAGGATTTCTTTACTCAAAGCAGAGTGCTGGATTCACCACAGCTGACCGCTCAATTGGCGGTCCCGAGCAAGTAATGGGCCATTCCACGTTCCCATGTGCGAGCTCAGTCCATCCACGAGTCACACAACGGCAGACTTTCGCGTTAAGCGGCACCCATTGGCCTAGTCTCTTAGACTTTACCACAAGAGGGGCATTTCCGTAACAATTGCGCGGGTAAAACAACACAAATTGCAGCTCCCGTGACTGATTGTTATTGTACCACAACAATAACCAGCACATCGAGCCGTAGCACCGGAGCGAGTTTACCACCTCGGGCGACGCCACCACCCCCCTCCCCACACACACACACAAATCCCCTCAGCGCGTCTCGCTCACACGCAGGAAGCCGCCATCGAGCCGCGTTGCGTCGAATCTCCTCGTGGAGGCGACGGCCGCGATCGGCGACAACGACGACGACGATGACAACGACGACAACGACGACGGCCGCGAATTCCTTTTAAGAAGACGGCGGCGGCATCGGCGGAGCGGCCATGGCGACGTCGCCTCGCGTCACTTCCGCCCGCGCGATGACGTCATCGCGTCACTTCCGCGCGCGGGCGGAAGTGATGCGATGACGTCATCGCGCGCGGGGACCGAAAAGTGACGTCATCATCCAATGCGATGCCGGATGACGAACAAATGACAACAGATTCTAGATTTGAAGCTTTCGTGACTGCAGGGATTCATCTTCTTGGTTCTTTCGGTAAAGTCACGTAGAAGGGAAGTAATAAAATAATAAAAATAAAACATAATAAAATAAAATAATTCTCATGAATTAGCCGAAACGTCGTGAGAATTATTTTATTTTATTATGTTTTATTTTTATTATTTTATTACTTCCCTTCTACGTGACTTTACCGAAAGAACCAAGAAGAGAAATGACAGCAGATTCTAGCTTAAAAGCTTTCGTGACTGCAAGGATTCATACTCTTAGTTCTTTCGGTAAAGTCACGTGGGTAAAAAATTCAATTAAAATCTTGTCTGTGACGGTCCCACCTGATGACGGAGACTTGTGTTGCCTCCGAAACGTCGTGATTTATATTTTATTTTTTATTAATTTTAATTAAATTTTTTTAACCTACGTGACTTTACCGAAAGAACTAAGAGTATACATGACAACAGATTTGTTTCGGCCACGCTCACCCCGTGTCCGCTGACGAGGAGGCTGTTGGGGCGAGGGGTGTTTGCGAGCGAGCGCCTAATGAAGGCCGGTTCAAGTTCATGTACTAGGTGTAGCCCTGTGAGCCATTCAGCTCTTGAATCGGGTGCAACCGCAACAAACAAAAAACAAAAACATGAACAAAAAACATCTTAAAGTGAATATGTGACTAAGTGCAAACAGAAAATTCAAGAAAAGACAGCAAAATATTGCAGAAAAAACACCGTACACCAACGCTGTGTGCAAAAATCCCAGTGGGATGCAAGTCAAACAACAACAACCACAAGACAGCTTAGATTAAGGCCATCAGTCTAACTCTGTACTACAACAAACAACAACAACCACAAGACAACTTAGATTAAGGCCATCAGTCTAACTCTGTACTACAATAACAACAACAACAACCACAAGACAGCTTAGATTAAGGCCATCAGTCTAACTCTGTACTACAACAAACAACAACAACAACAAGACAACTTAGATTAAGGCCATCAGTCTAACTGTACTACAATAACAACAACAACCACAAGACAGCTTAGATTAAGGCCATCAGTCTAACTCTGTACTACAACAAACAACAACAACAAGACAACTTAGATTAAGGCCATCAGTCTAACTCTGTACTACAACAAACAAACATGGCTAAACCAATACACTTTTCGAAATCACCAAAATAAAGCCATGAAAGCAATGAAAAAGCAAGCATAGGAACTGTGACGGAATTTTCACAATAAATGGCATAAACAACATGTACTACCAAAACCCTGCAGCCATAGCTGGCTGCATGAGTCACTCCACAACAGCAGGAGCATCAGTCGGAGTATTGTAATTTTTCAATGCACCTTTAAGATCAGCACACTAAATCAAAACACAGGTCACGGCGCACGAGGCCGGCACCGCCTTTGTCTCCCCAGTGGCGATCACTGTTGTTTCATTGCTTTCATGGCTTTATTTTGGTGATTTCGAAAAGTTTTTGGGTTTGGACATGTTTGTTTGTTGTAGTACGGAGTTAGACTGATGGCCTTAATCTAAGTTGTCTTGTGGTTGTTGTTGTTGTTTGACTTGCATCCCACTGGGATTTTTGCACACAGCGTTGGTGTACGGTGCTTTTTTCTGCAATATTCTTTGTCTTTTCTTGGATTTTCTGTTTGTACTTAGTCACATTAAGATGTTTTCTTGTTCATATTTGAGTTTTTTGTGTGTTGCGGTTGCACTCACAGGGCTATACCTAATAAATGAACTTGAACTTGTTTTACACACCTCACTTGGGGCTGAGTCGACCTAAGGGAGGCCCACGACCGGCTCAGATAATCGTCACCGGTGTTGGCCGTGAGCGGGAATCGAACTCGGGTGGCCGGGTTCGCAGCGCAGCAGCGCTCCTCACCACCCCCCCACCGACCTCCCCGATGGCCGTGACGTTATGGCGAAAAAGCAACTCTGTTAACGTTCATATTCTTGGTTCATCTTCTTGGTTCTTTCGGTAAAGTCACGTAGAAGGGAAGTAATAAAATAATAAAAATAAAACATAATAAAATAATATATTATTATTTATTATTGTATTACTTCCCTTCTACGTGACTTTACCGAAAGAACCAAGAAGATGAATCCCTGCAGTCACGAAAGCTTTAAATCGAAAAATATTCTCGGTTCTTTCGGTAAAGTCACGTAGGAGGGAAATAATAAAATAATAAAAATAAAACAATAAATTTGCGAGAATTTTGTGAGAATGTTATTGTTTTATTTTTATTTAATGATTTCCCTTCTACGCGACTTTACCGAAAGAACCAATAATATGCTTCAAATCGCTTTAAACTTGTCATTGTAGTGCGTATTCAATGTGGCGCTGCACTCTGATGTTGTAGGAGGAAACCTTTATTAAAAAGTGTATTTAATTAAGTAGAACGTGTTGTCTATATTTAAAGTTGCGCATTTTGATGTTACGTTACATTTCACCCCCCCCCCCCCCCATGTCACACATCGTCACAAATTCTAGAAGCTTTCGTGACTGCAAGGATTCATACTCTTTGGTTTTTTCGGTGAAGTCCAGTAGGTATTCGTCACAAATGTCTGACCCCCCCCCCCTAGGTGCGTGACGTCATTTATGGACGGCCGTTTAGGGAGATGGCCGATGGACAAGACGGGTGATAGATTGGTAGCTATATAGGAGCTTGGCAGGATGACTAATGCTAAGAGCAATGCCAACAGTTCGTGTTGAAGGCGGGGGTTCAATTGTGGCATTGCAGGACCACAACCGATGGTGAAGGCCTGGGGAGTCCTTCATCCAGCAGTGGATAGACAATGGATGATGATTATATGACGTCCTTCCAGCCAGCAAAACTTTTGCATTGACCAGTGCCTTGTGTTGTAGCTGGACTGATCGCCAAAAACATTTGGCAATCCAGATGACGACCGCTTGTGTTGCGATCGAAACGTCGTAGTTTTTTGTTATTTTCTTTGAACCTATCTACGTGACTTTACCGAAAGACCCAAAGAATATGAATCCCTGCAGTCACGAAAGCTTTAAGTGAAGATTCAATCCACAAGAGTTTGTTCAACACGCCTGACTAATGAGATCCAGATGATTTTAAAACCGGTCTACAGTTTGCGTGTTTAAACACATTGTTTGGGATATTATTCTTGAAACTCCATAGGCTGAAAGACTAAAGATAACATTTCACGTTTATTTACGGAATGAAGGGGCATTTATTCGATGTAGAGTATAGTGAAAATGTATTATTTGCTCTGTAATTTATTTGTCATGATAAAGTCTACTGAGCAACTGTCCACTGCGACTTCCTCGCCAGAAAATCCTCAGAGATTCACTCTACATCTTGCCAAGCTCTTGACTGGGTTGTCGAATTTCGATTTAAAGCTTTCGTGACTGCAGGGATTCATATTCTTGGTTCTTTCGGTAAAGTCACGTAGAAGGAAAATAAAAAAATAAACAATTAAATGCTCACGACATTTCGATTGCAACACAAGCAATCATCATCAGGTGTGAAAACCACAGCCACTTTTTTCAAAAATGTTCTTGCTGTGGTTTTCACAACTGATGATGATTGCTTGTGTTGCAATCGAAACGTCGGGAGAATTTTATTGTTTTTATTTTTATTATTTTATCATTTCCCTTCTACGTGACTTTACCGAAAGAACCAAGATTATGGGTTGTCAAAGCTTAACGTCATACAGTACGATACTTACTATAAATGATTGCTGGTCAAATCCATACGACTTCATTATGTCTCCACTAGATGTCACTATTGCACCACAGAGGCAAATGGTGTTTTTTCTTTCCCCCTACAGATTTGACCAAGGATTTATATGCATTACATTGTATCTTTACACCCACAATAACCTGAGGCTGTGATTCCAATATCAATACGTTGCGTCACCATTAGATGTCCCCACCGCGCCACTGAGAGGCAGTGGGAGTTGCTTTTTGTCTTTCCTGACGCACACGCATCGAGTCCCAGTTAGGAAAACACGGCAGTGGTTTTATTCCAGGCGTTGTTAAAATTGCTCCGTCCCTTGCAGGTGCTACGCGACACGCTCGTCCGCACCGCCGTGGCTTTTCGAGAATTATCTGTAAACAAATTTCACCGCTGAGTGCTAAAAACCCGAACTTCTTTTCTTTTACGGCTGGCTGCAATTTGGAAAGGCGACAGAAAAACGCGCGCAGCCACGTGGCTTCTGGATTTTTCAATGGCCTAAAATGACCGCAGAGCGCGCGGCGCGATTGTATTGCCGTATTGACCGCTCGATATTGATAAATTCATGAATTCTGTGACACTCAAGGAGGCCGCCTGTGGCCCAGGGGAATCGTGCTAATGCTAACGCTAATGCCTGTGTCAGAGCACCGAGCCAGCAGTGCTCACATCTTCCGTGATCACCCAAGGGTGCAGTAAGCCCAGGGCTTTTGGATGTGTAGTGGAGTTGATGTCCCCAACCTGGTCACGAGTCACTGCGGCAAAAAATAAATCCACTCTGAAACGTAAAAATGTGGTAATTGCACTAAATTCGATGAAGCATAGTTTTTTATTGTGTTTTTTTTCCCAAAAAAGGTGCAGAGTGAAGCACGGCTTTCGTGACAGTGGTTATATTTAACCCTATAAAGTAAACGCATCCTATTCTTGGTTCTTTCGGTAAAGTCACATAGAAGGGAAATAATAAAATAATATAATTATAATATAATATAATAAATTTTTATTTTATTATTTCCCTTCTACGTGACTTTACCGAAAGAACCAAGAATATGAATCCCTGCAGTCACGAAAGCTTTAAATCGAAATTTAAACGCATCCTCTTTGTCAACCCACTCCTGGATAAAAGTCTGTTACACACACGTTGACGAAGATTATACACTCTACCCTTTAAAC